ATTAATTTGGGGAAGGAGGGGTGGCTACACCACATGGTCTCAAACCTAAAAGGCTTAACATTACTAGGCTTAATATCATTTTTTAACTTAATGAGTAAAGGATAGTGGTCTGAGTGGGTCCTAGATAGATGAGTTACAGTGTCTTAGGGTACTTAGTAATCCAGGAGTCATTAGCAAAACACCTATCTAATCTTCAAGAATTAGGTTGTTCATGTTTCTGTATATCTTGTTAGTCCATGTGTACTTACTTCTTTTATAGCCTAGTTCAACTAGTTTACACTAGTTGTAGCAAATCCAAAACAGATTGCTCCTATTAGTATTAATACTATTGCCACCAATTTGTCTCTAGTTTTGAAGAATTCATTTAAGTCTCCTCCTACAAATCAACTACCACTATAACTTCAAGAGATATCAGATAAGTGGTCCCAAAACCTTTTCCTATCAAACAAATGGTTACTAGCATAAATAGCATAAAAGACCCATGAGTTAGGGAACGATATTACCTTCACCATGACATGAATAACTTGAGGAGTGGTGGATACTTCCTCAATATGTATAGAATCTTATTTTCACATAATGATAGTGCCTCCAGATTAGCCAACAACTTCGAATTGGATATGAAAATCAAATTGTAGCTCCTCTGTTAGCTTTTTGTGGTTGGCCATTCTGTTCTATATGAGTACCAACATCATGGGCTTATGCAGTTGCACTATTGCTACACAGGGCCTCCGAAACTCTACATTGTTTCCTTTCCTAACATTCCTTATGATGTAATTTATTAATAACTAAGGGTGTGTTGCACCCTATTTTGCACGAGTCAAAATAAAATTCAACTAGTGGTTTCTCTGTTGTTGATGAAAGAGAATCGCCACCTAAAATTTAAAGGTATACTAGGGTACCTATTCAGTTATTAGATTTTCATCATATTAGTCTGCTAATTGAAGAGATTTGAGTAAGGGTTCTTGTTCTTCAAAGGGGAAGGTGTTAGGCACCCTCTAGAATCTAACTAAAGTAGCTCTATAGGACTTCGACTAGGTTTAGGGAGTTAAATATCTACATTCTACTTAGTTAGTGCTTAAAAGTGTATAGCTTACTCTATGTCTTGTTCAAAGCTTATAACTTGAAAAATATTGCATGTACCTTTGAAATGAATAGGTTTCATTTATAAAGTCTTAAAATGTTTACATCTATATGATTGAAAGTACTTTTGGAAGCATATTTTATATTTGCAAACTTTGTAAGATATGGCTATGTTTAAAATATTTTATCTTTGAAATAGTATGGCTATTTATATAACTTTAGTAAAATAAGGGCTATTAGAAAAATGGGTTAGGTATACCTTAAGATTGATATAAATCTTGTACCCAAGTTTAGAAGAAAGATCGTTTGAGGTGTTCCTTGATTGCATCTGTGTTTGTTTTGTTTGTAGAAAACTGTCTTGGAAATCATTTTCTCGATTCTGGAATTTAAAGAAGGGGAGTTGTTTGCTTTACAAATCTCTCTAAATCTTCAAAAAGTTTCATGAAAACAGTAAGTATGAATGAAAGTGAATACTGTATAGCAGAAGTAACTAAGCATGTTGAAGTTATTTAACTAATGTATGAGACAGTGATTCTTTTTAATTACATATGGTCTTTAGCTTGCCTAGGTTTCTAAAGTAATTCAAAGATAATAAAGAGAAAGTTTTCACTCAATATCGTCAGTATCATATACACATAGAAGCAACAACAGATTTATGTAACGCGATAAAGGAAGGAGAATTGGACTCATAGTTTGGGCCTAAGAAATGTTAGGCCTAACAGATAACGATCAACAGCAACAGGCTCCAATCACTATGGAATCTAGGCTGGAACCCAGGCCCGAGATCTTGAGAACTCAGCAGGCCCAGTTCAATCACATATACAAAAGAAAAGAAGACATTAGTGATAAGGCCTAATAACACTGAAATGCAAATAAGAGTGCAATACGGCTAATATGAGGCGCAAATAAACTGTTACAAGTGCTGTAATTAAATATGCAATAAAGTCAATGTAAGGTCAGTAGAGAAAACAAATTCACAGTGAAGCCTTTCTTTCATTTAAGACTAACCCTAAAGAGATTAATAAATTTCAATAATTAAGAGCTTAAAGTAAAATCTCATTCATGGACAAGGCACCCTTTGGACCTCCTGCACTTCGGAGTTCACAAGGGTCTCAAGGACCCCGCGCAGTGCTTGTGTCAAGGAGGGTATCCCAACCGTAAACTAATATCCCAACCATAAACTAAATCTTACTCCTAAATACCCTTAACCACTCACACTTACTCTTCCTTATAGGTTTAAATACCAATGAGGCATTCACTGTAACTTCCAATGTAACAGTTGCAATAACTCAAAGATTCAAGTATGCACATCTCTCACAAAAACTATGCAGAATACTATTATGAGTATGAGATAACAGATTACACCATTGAGATCACAATCCAAATACAATTGTGTAGTATACTGTCAGCACTTCCTTATATACATAAGAACACTCAAAGAAACCAACTACAGATACAAACAAAGAGAGGCAATCACCAATAGACTAGCTTAGAAGTTCAAACACTAAATCATGTGACTTAAGGAGTAGAAAAGATACCTTTATACTGATTAGTTCATGTTTACAGGAGTTCTTACTCACAATACTTTAATAGCTTGTCAGACTATGTTCAAATTAATCAGGGACTCATGCGTAGATTAAATCCTAACTTCTGAGTGAACAACCTTATTTAAAATCTCTAAAGAATATCAATAGAGGTACTTATGTAAGCAAACATGCTAGTCCTAACTTAAGCTAATAGCAGGATTACTTTCCCTTTAAAGGTTCTTAATCTCACATTCATACGAGGCTCATTAAGAGGTAAGACCCTCATATAAACACAAGGCAATGTTCTGATAGGTCAAGTAAGCATCAAAAGTTTCTCTTTAGTTCTTTCAGTGATCACAACTGACTTATATCTCCAATTCTATGGGGTTGATCCCTTTGGAATAAACATGATAATGTTTCTTCTTCATATGATAATGCAATTCTAAGAGAGGTGTGAAAGTACAGGTGTTATGCCCCGCAATATTATGTCGATATTACGTCCCGCAATCATGTTATGCCTTGCAGTACTACATTACGATGATATTACGCTTCGCAGTATTAAATTACGACGATGTTGTACCCTGTAGTATTGTACGTTGAATTTGTCGTAAGGTAATTGACATCAGTCCAAGGAAAAGATTATTTGGAGATTATAAGGATTATGCTATTTCAAACAAGTAATGAGTAAATTTGTGAAGGTGAGAGGGTAAGCAAGTCAAAGAAAATAAATTTTCGTCCAAGTTTGGCATGTTGGGATAAAATTCGGGCCGAGTTAAAATACTTGGTATTTATGGCCTAGTACCATACAAGGTACCACATGGCCATGATAGTAAGATGTATAAGGTGTGTTAAAAATAAGTAAAATTTTAAGTAATTTGAAATAATTTTTAATTATGCGGGTAATTGGTTAATTACCGGATAACAGGACATTACCTAATTAACTAATAAGGAGATAAAGATTAATAATTTTCCCCCAAAAAAACGCATCGCATCAAGAAAGCTTACCAAACATATGACTAAGTAGTCATATAAGATTAATGGCTACCTAGCATCTACGTGTAAAGCACTTAAACACTAAAGATGTATATACAAATTTGGTCTCTTTTAAAGATTTGATTCATTTTTGGGCAGAGTTTCTTATGGGTACGTGATTTTTGCCCTATACGAATTACTTCCATAAATTCAAGAAAATAATGTTTCCCCATTATTTACAATTTTTGTAGTTTTTTCATAGGATTTTTGTTAATTATTTACATTTGTCTGTGCATGTTTATTTTATTTAAATCAAATAAAAATACCAAAAATACCATGCATTCTCACTTAGGATTTATTTTTATATTTTTTAGGTTAATTAGTAAATTAGTTGCTTTATAAAAATGAAAAATCACAAAAATGGCTCATTTTATTTTTGTGCATTTTAGCCTTTTAATATTAAATCGGTAATTTCTTCTTTTAATTTAGGAGTAATTAACTTTCATAAATAACTTAGTAGGTAATTAAATTAATTTTATGGATTGATTTAATTTAAAATTCTAATTTAGTTTTTTTAATTAAAAAGGGAAAAGAAAAACAAATGAAGAGGAGAGGAAAAAAGAGTTAGGGCTGTTGATTTTCGCCCAAATACTAAGGCCCAATTTAATCCACTTATCCGCCTAGCCCAATACCTAACCTGCCCTAACCTGCTTGGCCAAACCCGACCCATCCCCAAAATATAAGCGCAAAAACAAAAGAGACCCAGAACCCTAATCTCCAAGACCCATCAGCGCAGCACTGTTCTTCTTCTCCATACAACCAAATCTGTTCCCAAAAATCGCCAAAATTCAGGCGAGTTAAATCCAAACTCGCACCGCGTGTTTTACCTTCTCTCCTCTTGCTATAGCGTAACCGTTTCTGACATATTCCCTCTCCCTCACATGCTCTCTTGGATTATCTTCGGATTTTTGCCCTCCAGACGGAAATAAGAAAAAATGGGGAGCGTTAGATTGGATTCAAGTTAATCTACTCCCTCCATTTGTCCCTTTTTTCATCAGAAAAGGGGTAAAAAATCGGATTGGGAGTGGGGAATTTTTGTTTTGGAGGTTTCTTGGGGAGAAAGGGAGAAGGTTCGAGAAGCCTGGAGGATATATAAAGGAGACGTTATTTTCAGAAGGGGGGTTGGGAAAAGTGGTGAGGGATTTTTGGATTTTAGTTTTTTTTTTTGAGTTTTCGATTCCAGAGAAAGATGGTGAAGGTCTGAGTTTTCTTGTTCAGTTCGAGATTTTACTTCCAAAATCAGAAAACTTTAAGAATATGGAGCTCCATTTCTGATTTTGGATTTCTGTTTGAAAGAAGTTTATTTTTGGAGATTTTTTTTCCTTCNAATCAGAAAACTTCAAGAATATGGAGCTTCATTTCTGGTTTTGGATTTCTATTTGAATGAGGTATATTTTTGGAGAATTTTTTTTCCTTCTTCTATTTCTCTGTTAGTTCAAAGAGGTGAAACAAAGATGAAGAAAATTAGTTAATATGATCTTGAGTTTTATTTCAAAATCAGATTATAAAAGAAATTTTCTTCCACTCGATTTATACTTTCAAATGGATTGAACTGGTTTGTGCTGAGTTGTTCGAGTTCGTCGCCGTCGAGGTCCAGAATCGCTCTTTCAGTTCGTGTTGTTGGAATTTGTTTGGTATTTCCCTCTTTTTTCAAGCTTCGGTTGCTGCCTCAAAGTGTATTCGCTTCCAAAGAGAATTAATTGAAAGTTTTCTTTTCACATTCAGGTTCATCTCTTTCTCTTTAAATTCTCTTTATTCTAAAACAATGGTGAATTGGAATATGATAGGAGCCTGTGGAGTGGAGAATTTTAGTTTCATTTGAAAGTTGATAGAAGCTGGTTCGAGGGAAGATGTGAGGGTGTATTATCGAGTTGTATGATGGTTGCGCGCTATTTTTGCATTTCTCTGATTGCTTTATGGATTTGTGATTAGTTTAAAGACTTTGCTGTTTGTTAGAGTTTCATGTTAGTTTGCTTTATTTGATTTGTGATAACAAGATAAAAACCTGTGTGCTTTTAGGTTCAAATGAGATCAAATACATAACGTCTTGTTCTTGAATTTTCCCTTCTACTTGGTGATAGCGCCCAATTTGTTCGCACTTGGGTCGGTTTTACTTGCTGAAATTTGAAGGTCAATACATGTGTGACTCGTCTTGGTTTTGAATTTAATGGTTAAAGAGTGAAAGAAGCATTGGAAATATTCTGGGGAACTTTTCATCTATTGATGATCTAGTTCATTCAAAATACGTTGCAATCTTGCTGAAAATCACATTTGGTTCATCTCTTCTTGGTTGCGAAAGCTGCTACTATGTCTTTAAACGCTTCCTCGTGTTATTATGAAGCGAGGAAGTCGCGTTTTTAAAGTATGAATTAACTACTATGGATCTGCTTAGCCTTCATTATCTGACTTATCGTCCTAGCTTCTATGTTAATTAAGATTGTCACTTAATGTTTTCCCAGCGATCACCATTTGGACTATTCATAATATAATGACGAATGCATTCAAGAATTAGTTAAGGTTTAAATGTGAAGTTCCCCAGTTAATTCAGTAACTGATTGCATTTAAATTTCGCATCCAGGGTGTAGCTGTTGAGCATGAGCATCTCATTTGACAAAGCTATGTGTTCAGTGCATGTAATCAGGCCTATTCCTTCAGGAAGATTTGAAATTATATGTGATGCTAGGGTATTTTTACCTTGATGAATATTTGAGTTCTAGTTGACATTCAATCCATATTTGAAAGCAGTGTATTTTCGCCATATTTATCAGAGATTCATGCTATACTTTCCCTGTAAAAGGATGCACCACGGCCAAATTTTATTGAGCTGGTGTTTTGAGTTTTTTTTACATGTCATATGAATGCTCTCACCTAAATAATTAATTGAAAAGTGAATTTGAGAATGGATAGGTGATTTCAAACATTGAGTTATTAATGGCAGTGCATCAGTGAAAGAAACGTGGGTGCATTTATGAGATGCATTGAATTAAAAATGTGCTGGAGTTTTGTGTGCTTAAGTGAGGCTGTATGGTTAATAGCCACGAGTCAGGTCTGAGTTGTCCAGTTTTCGGGAATTGTGAGGTGACGTACGGGGGTGGGAATAATCTAACATTTTAAGACGCTCTTATCATATTTTGATCTACCATTTATTTTCTTTTAATTGTTGTCTGTGCTTTCCTTCTAGTTTACATGTTCGAGATGCTTTTTATTTAATTAGCCGGGATCTGTTTAAAGGATTTTTGGACCATAAAAATGGTGGAAAGACCGAAGCTCATTAGTGATTAAACTATTTGCATACTTTAGGATTGGACTTGGTCTAAACACATGAAATGAAAAGTTAATTGAATTTTCGTAGTTTGCTTTAGGCGCGTTGATTAAATAAATGGTCATAGCTACGGGTACGGTTCCCGTGACTTAGTTGTGATTTTTAATTACTAAAATCCGGGGGTGTATTTCATGAGACCCGATCACAATTTAATCATGTTAATAAAATAAACACGTTGTAGATTGTGGGTACGGTTCCCGTGATACGATTAAGTCTGTTAATTGTTTGCATTTGTCTGTGCATGTTTATTTTATTTAAATCAAATAAAAATACCAAAAATACCGTGCATTCGCACTTATGATTTATTTTTATATTTTTATATTAATTAGTAAAGTAGTTGTTTTACAAAAACAAAAAATCACAAAAATGGCTCATTTTTTTTTTTTTGCATTTTAGCCTTTTAATAGNGCCTTTTAATATTAAATCGGTAATTTCTTCTTTTAATTTAGGAGTAATTAACTTTCATAAATATCTTAGTAGGTAATTAAATTAATTTTACGGATTGGTTTAATTTAAGAGTCTTAGTTTTTTTAATTAAAAAGGAAAAAGAAAAACAAATGAAGAGGAGAGAAAAAGAGAGTTAGGGCTATTGATTTTGGCCCAAATACTAAGGCCCAATTTAATCCACTCATCCGCCTAGCCCAACACCTAACCCGCCCCAACCTGCTTGCCCAAACCTGACCCATCCCCAAAATATAAGCGCAAAAAGAAAAGAGACCCAGAACCCTAATCTCCAAGACCCATCAGCGCAACATTGTTCTTCTTCTCCACACAACCAAATCCGTTCTCAAAAATTGCCAAAATTCAGGCAAGTGAAATCCAAACTCGCACCGTGCGTTTTACCTTCTCTCCTCTTGCCATAGCATAACCGTTTCTGACAGATTCCCTCTCCCTCACATGCTCTCTTGGATTATCTTCAGATTTTTGCCCTCCAGACGGAAATGAGGAATGTGAGCACGTGATTTTTGCTTGCACGAAAACTACTCCAAAATAAATCAAAAAAATAAAATAA